CATCTAACAGCATTCCCTGTGCCATCTGTGCACCCCAAACCATACCCCTGGAAGCAGATGTGAATCTTGTCTTCATGGGTCTATAATCTAATAGGGGAGCAACCAGCATGCAGATTACAGAAAGAACGAAAGAATCACACAAAGAAATGGAAGGAAATTGTGATTGAAATAATGGAGGGTGAAACCTTTCTTAGAAAGGTGACCAGGGACGCCTCTGGGAAGAGATGTTGAGGTGATGCATGCACGACGAGGCGGAGCCGGTCCTGTGCAAAGGCAGAAGGGAAGGAGCCCGATGGAGCGTCTGGGTGACACCACTGAAGGAAGGAGTGGCTTAAGAGAAGACAGGAGGATGCCATGCGTGGGAAGCCCAGGATGAGGACTGGGAGTAGGCTGGAAAATGGGAGAGGCATGATGGAGCTGGGAGCTTATGCAAAAAGAAAGGTGTACCATCTCATAGTGGTCAGAAGCAGAGAAGATGGTAACTAGGGTGACCTTATTTTGTTTTCTGCCGCATTCCTGAAATGATTTAAGGTGACTTACCTATTTCATATTAAACCAAACCACCACCACCACCTCCCCCCCCAAAAAAACCCCAAACCCCAAATAAACAAACAGCAGTCAAGTCAATTCCATCTCATCAGACTTTCATGGGGACAATCTTTGCAGAGGCAGAGGGCTGGGGATTTGAACAGTCAATCGTTAGGCCAGTAGTTAAGTACAAATGGTTTGTCGGCCAGAGACGTGACAACTTTTAGGATGAAAGGATTAAGTAAGTGGATCGACTGAGATAAAAGGAAAATCCAGACTGGCAGAAAAAGGTTAAACTGAAATAAAGTTCTGGTCATTAGTAAGCTACAGATGGGCTTCTGAACTTTCCAGCTGCCAGTGTACAAGGATATAGACTCATCCAGGGACTTGAGACAGTCTGAGATCGGGGGATTGACTGGAACAGAGAGAAGGAGGAGGCAGAACTGTTTCCTCTACCATGAAATAGATGATTGAAGATGAAAGTAACAATAAAAAAATACCTGGGTCTGGAGGAGTGGTTTCCTCATACGCTCTCAAAAACATCTGCAAACAGTATTGAATAAAGCTTGTTAATTTCCCCCAAATGTAAACTGGCCATAGACAGTCTCTGACTCTTCTTGTTGACCTCTAAGGGGAAATTTCTATGTTCAGTCTCGATGGGGGCAGCTTTAAGTTGTTCAACACTAGGGGGTGTGTGGGGTGGAGTGGGTGGCTTGGTGCATGTTGACACAGCTGTTTTACATGTGACGGCAGGAGGTCCTCTGTCTGTTTCACGATGAAGTGTGTGGAAGGCTGCACCAAGGAGCAAGCAAGGTAGGAGCCAGGTGTCACCTGCCAAGTCATCGTCCTGATGTTCCTGAGGAGGCCTCCATGTGGCTGCTGGGCATGGCAAAAACCTCACCTCACTTTCTTTGTTGTTAGGGATATGTGGGGGCGGGGGTCTGCACGTGAGCTCCTTTGCATGCTACATGTATATGTATATTTCATGTAGTGTGTAACAGGGCCCACTAACCTTAATTTACTGGACAGCTCCCCAATCCAGCCTCGAGTCACTCCCCCCCACTGCCACCCCAGCTCACGATGCCTACGCGGAATTTGCAGCCCATACAATTAAGCGTGGACCAGGACACACTGTGCCATTCTCTCATTTCTGAGAGATTCATAGGCGTTCTCCATAGAAACCTATTTTGCCAAGTTCTTACGTCTGGACTAAGTCCTAGGAAGACCTCCTCTTGGTACTAACCAATATCACAAACCAGCGAGAAACAGTGGACACGGAGCCTCTCTATCGCAGGCAGACCTGGACTTGGCTCGTCCTTGGCTTCTGACTGCCCTTCGGGTCAGCTCTGCCACACCGAGTGCTTTGCTGTCCCTTTCCCTCACTTTGGCTTATTTTGCAACCTCGAGAACCCCCCTGCCTGGGAACTGCCGCCTCACATTGGAAGTGTTTGGCTTCTCGCTCTGATTCTAGATAAGGAGGAAACGGGCTTGCAAAGGGCAGTGGTGTGCTGGCAGGGAAAGCCAGAAGGGGAACTCTCTCTCCCTCTCTCTTTCGCTCTGTGACGGAAAAGGAAGGAAGGAGAGGGTGACCCTCCCGGTGTGGGAGGCAGCGTGAGAGTGATGAGAACCATGGTAACACCATCTGACTCCTGATCTGTCCCTGATGACCTTGTGAAACCTGTTTACTCGACTGGTCTGCTTCGTCTGTTTCCCCCCCTCAAATCAGAGATAATAAACATCCTTTTTCCCAGAGCCCTGGCAAGGATTAAATAGGATGATGTTTGCAACGGATGTGGAATGTTGACTAGAAAAAGCTTTTTCAATGAATGGTGCCTGAAAAAAAAAACCATGAGAAATTCTTTCCCTCTCATACTCTCTCTTGTCCACCTCCTTTGTGTCTTCTAGCTTGTACTCTAGTTGGTGGAAAGATGTGTGATTGCGAAGGAAAGGAGGAACAGCAGGAAGAGAAATGTAAAACCCACTCGGACTATTTCTCTAATTCCCTGATCACCAACCCCCAGCGCCCAGCAAACTGGTTTGCGCCCAGCAATCTCCTGATGGCTACCCTAGTTCTGAGTTTCTCTCATGGCCACCTGCTCTGTCTCCAGAAGCCCATTGTTTGAGACATAGAGTCCTATCCTGCAGGTCCTTCAGCGCCCTTCCCTAGTCCTGAACTCTTCTTAGTCCTTGCCCACTGCTCTTGTCCTTTAGGATCACAGCTGCTCTGGAACTGCTTGTAGGAAGTGAGTGGCCCAGCCCAGCCCACGCGTCCCGAAGCAGATGTACTTCTCTTACTACCAGGTGGAGTTATGATTTCATTTTTCGTGGAAAGGAAACAGATGCCTGAGTTCTACTGTGAGTATTGTTCAGGGCTATAAATTACAAACCTAACCACCCTCACAACATCGTTAATATGGCCAAGCGAATCCCGAGTGCCAAACACGGGCTTAAAGACATGTCTTTGACATGGCCCTGGCACGTACCCTGGGAATTTCCCAACATATTGAACACAATGATGGCAAGGAGGATGCTTCACAGTTTAGGGAGGACTTTTTACAACTGCGTTCCAAGGCAAATATTATTAAATATCATCTTACCAAAGAGGAATGCTTAGTGAAACAAACTGTTAGCCAGCACATTTCTATCACAGATTCTGTTGAGGCAGCATCTATACACAGATATCTGTACACAGATATTTCCATCACTGTCTGTACCCTGATGGAACTGCCCCATAGATGTTGGACTGATAACTTCAAGAGTGGAGTTACAGCCCACCAACTGCTCAGAGAGAGAAAGATAATGCTCTCATATTTACAGTCTCAGAGACGTCTGAGGGTCGGGATGAGTGAAAATCAACTCAGTTTTCAGTGGGTTTGGCTTTTTACCACAAATAATGATTTTCTTGTGTTGTTTATCATTGACTGAGTTTAAGTTAGGATGTCACCATCTTCAATTTCTTAAAGTTTCTCTCACTCTTTCCTCTTCTTTTTCTTTTTTTTTTCTGAGTATAGTGTACTTTATTGATGGTACATGACAAGGTTGTGTTCTCTAAGCCCCTCCCCTTCCTTCAGGGGGTCTGGATGGAATATTCTCAGTGTGTTGGGGGATTGAATTAGGGGCAAAGATTCCCCAGCAGCTGAGGGCCTCTCTTCCTCTAGTGCTGTTGCTGGGGCTGGTGGTCCAGAGGAGCTCTTACTCCTTGGAGGCCATGTGGACCATGAGGTCCACCACTCTGTTGCTGTAGCCTAATTCATGGTCATACCAGGAAATGAGCTTGACAAAGTGGTCGTTGAGGGCAGTGCCAGCCCCAGCATCAAAGGTGGAAGAGTGGGGGTCACTGTTGAAGTCACAGGAGACAACCTGGTCATCAGTGTAGCCCAGGATGCCCTTGAGGGGACCATCAACCAGCTGCTTCACCACCTTCTTGATGTCATTGTACTTGGCAGCTTTCTCCAGATGGCAGGTGAGATCCACAACAGACACATTGGGGGTGGGGACACGGAAGGCCATGCCAGTCAGTTTCCCATTCAGCTCTGGGATAACCTTGCCCACAGCCTTGGCAGTGCCAGTAGATGCGGGGATGATGTTCTGAGCAGCCCCCCGCCATCACACCAGAGTTTCCCAGAGGGGCCATCCACAGTCTTCTGGGTGGCAGTGATGGCATGGACTGTGGTCATGAGTCCTTCCACGATGGCAAAGTTGTCATGGATGACCTTGGCCAGGGGGGCTAAGCAGTTGGTGGTGCAGGAGGCATTGCTGACAATCTTGAGGGAGTTGTCATACTTCTCGTGGTTCACGCCCATCACAAACATGGGGGCATCGGCAGAAGGGGCAGAGATGATCACCCTTTGGGCACCGCCCTTCAAGTGAGCCCCAGCCTTCTCTACAGTGGTGGAGACACCAGTGGACTCTATGACATACTCAGCACCGGCCTCACCCCACTTGATGTTGGCGCGATCTTGCTCCTGGAAGATGGAGATGGCCTTCCTGTTGACATTAAGCTTCCCATTCTCAGCCTTGACAGTGCCATTGAACTTGCCGTGGGTGGAATCATACTGGAACATGTAGACCATGTAGTTCAGATCAATGAAGGGGTCATTGATGGCAACAATTTCCACTTTGCCAGAATTGAAAGCAGCCCTGGTGACCAGGCGCCCAATGCGGCCAAATCCATGCACTCCGACCTTCACCATCATGTCTCTGGGATGCAGCTGGGATGGCACAGGAATGGGAGAGGTGCCTGTCTGTGGCACGAGGAAGAGCAGAGAGCCTCCTCTTCTTTTTCTTAATCTCTCTATTGCTCATTACTGTCAAGTCAATTTGGACACATTGGAATCTTGCACGACAGACGAGGCTGCCCATAGAGTTTCCAAGGCTGGAAATAATTTTGGAATCGGACTCACACATCTTCTGCCTGGAGAGTGGCTAGTGGGTTGGGACTCCTGACCTTTGGGTTAGTGGCCAAGCAGTATGTTAGCTGCTGCTCCACCGTGGCTTCTCTCATTTCTACATGCATGCAAAAATTAATATATGTTTAACTCCAGAGATTGACTATTTGAAAATAATATAAAGCACTATGATTTGACTTTGTATGTCTTCTGAATCAACACACAAACGAGCACACACCATCCTTTATTCTTATGTGACTTTGTCTTATCTGTAGCTCAGTTTCTACATGGTAAGATAAAGAGGCCAGACTAGGTGAGGAGGATAAAAGAATGCATGCTAGTCGAGAGGCTAGCTCAGACTCCATATTTAGTGTTGTTCCACCCTTTCTTAGTTCTATCAATGTGGGAGAAAATTGCTTATAAGCTCTGGGACTCAGTTTCTTCATTGCAAACTAAGGGATCTATCCTTGGTGATCTTCCTTGCCACCCTGGCCCCCTACGCCTGCAGGCAAGACTGCCTGGGTTACCTGGCAGTGCACCTACCTTCCTTACGAGCTGTTGCAGATTCCATTTGATTTGCCAACACGGGTTGTTCAGACTGTCTTTCTCACTGAGGTCCCAAGAGCTGTCATCGTCCTCTAGGAAACAGGCCATGCCACTTCTGGAGTACTTCTCCTGCATCTGGGTTAGGATGGAACATGACA